GGACGTGGGTAGGGAGTTCCTGGACCAAGGGGGAGAAAATGGAGTCGAGATAGGTGGAGATAAGTTCGGTGGGGCAGGAGCAGGCGGAGACAATGGGTCGACCAGGGCATTCAGGTTTGTGGATTTTGGGAAGGAGATAGAAGCGGGTGGTGCGGGGTTGGGGAACGATGAGGTTGGAGGCTGTGGGTGAGAGGTCACCTGAGGTGATGAGGTTGTGAATGGTTTGGGAGATAATGGTTTGGTGCTCGGGGGTGGGGTCATGATCAAGGGGGCGGTAGGAGAAGGTGTCGGAGAGTTGGCGTCTGGCCTCGGAGATGTAGAGGTCAGTGCGCCATACTACAACTGCGCCTCCCTTATCCGCAGGTTTTATGGTGAGGTTGGGATTGAAGTGGAGGGAGCGGAGGGCTGCACGTTCTGCGGGGGAGAGGTTGGAGTGGGTGAGAGGGGTGGAGAGGTTGAGGCGATTGATGTCTCGATGGCAGTTGGAGATGAAGATTCACAATTTGAAGGTGTTGAACTCAATACTGAGCCCAGAAGGTTGTAAAATGTCTAGCTTGAAGATGAGATGTTGCTCCTCCAGTTTTTGCTGTGATTCGCTGGAGCATTACAGTATGCCAAAGATAGACAAGTGGTCATGCGAGCAGGATGCTGTGCTTAAATGACCAGCTACGGTAAGGACAGGGTTATCTCTGTGCACAGAGTGCAGGTGTTCTGCAAAGTGGTCACTTAGTCTGCATTTGGTTTCTCCAATGTAAAGTAGATCATATTGGGTGAAGCAAACAAAACACACGAGATTGGACGAAGAACAGGTGAAATGCTCGTTCACCTGGAGAGACTGCTTAGGCCCTTGGATGGAGAGCAGGGAGGAGAAGGGGCAGGTGTAGCACCTTCTGTGATTACATTGGAAGGTGCTGTGGGAAGTGGTGGTGATGTTGGTGGTTGAGGATTGGACCAGGGTGTCCCAAAGGGAATGATTCCTTCAAAATACAGACAGGGGGAGTGAAGGGAAGATGTATTTTGTGGTGACATTCTGCTGGAGTTGTCTGAAATGGCGGAGAATGATCCTCTGAATGCAGAGGCTGAAAGGATGAAAAGTGAGAACAAAGGGGATGTGATCACACTGTTGTGAGTGATGGGAAGGGGCAAGTGTGGAAGCACAGGTGATAGGTCAGATGCACTGTTGACTACAGTGGGCGGGAAACCACGCTTATGGGAGAAGGAACCTTTGTCAGCAGCGCTGTGTTGGAAGGTGGCATCATCCGAACAATACGATGTATTCGAAGGAACTGGGAGAATGGGATGGAATCCATATAGGATGTGAGGTGGGAAGAGCTGTAGTGAAGGTAGCTAATGGAGTTAGTCACTTTGTAATGGATGGCAGTGGACAGTTTATTTCCCAAAATGATAAGGAAAGGAAGGGAAGTATCGGAAATGGATGATGTGGAAGTTATAGAGGGGTGGAAATTGGAGGCAAAATTAACAAACGTTTCAAGGTCCAGACAGGAGCATGAAGGTGGCACAAAACAGTCATCAATGTACCAATAAAAGAGTTGTGGGAGGTGGCCAGTGTAGGAGTGGAACAAGGAGTGTTCCACGTACGCCGTAAAGAGGCAGGCATAACTGGGACCCATGCGGGGGCCCATAGCCACTCCTTTTACTTGGCAGAAGTGAGATGAATTAAATGAATTGTTCAGTGAGAGAACAAATTCAGCCAGGCAGAGGAGAGTGGTGGAAGATGGGGATTACTCAGGCTTCTGGTTGAGGAAGAAGCCAAGAGCTCTCAGACCATTCTGGTGGGGAATGGAGGTAGAGAGGTATTAGACATCTGTAGTGAACAGGAGGCAGATAGGGCCAGGAACTGGAAATTGGCAATACGGCGGAGGTTATCAGAGGAATCTCAGATGTAAGTGGGCAGGGTCTAGTCAAGTGGAGAGAGGATGGATTCAAGGAAGGTTAGCTTGACAGCTAGTTTGCAATGCAGACAATGTGGGTTCAGTTCCCAGGCTGGCTGGGGTTGTTGTGAAAGATTCACCCTCCAAACACTTCCCCTTGCCCCGAGGTGTGGTGACTCTCAGATTAAACCATGGCCAGCCATATCTCTCTATTGAGAAAGCAGCGATATAATCTATGACACCTTTACCTACATAAAATCCTGTGCCTCACTTGCGAGTGACATCTCAGAATTTTACATTACTGGAGAAAGCCATCGTCCTATCGTTTCTGTACCTGCTCCCAAAAGAACAACCCAGCTAGTCACACTCTCCAGCCCAATCTCGGTAGCCCACTAGTTTAATCACTTTTAAATATATATCTAGCTCTCTTTTGAAACATCCTACGGAATCTATTTCCATCACTCTCCCAGGTAGTGCATTCCAAGTCTTAAGAATGCTCTATGCAAAGAAGTTGCTCCTCATCCCACTCCAGCTCTCTTGCAGACATTCTTGAACTTGTGACCTTTGGTTAATGACATACCAATTAGTGGAAAAGAATATCCTTTACTCTGTCAAAACTGTTCACCGTTTTGAATACCTCAATAAGGTCACCTTTTAATCTTCTCTGCTCCAAGGAGTATCAGCCCAATCACTCTAATGTTTACTTGTATCTACAATCCTTCATTCTTGACATCAATCTCATAAAATCCCTTTGAACTCTCTCCAGGGCTTTAACATTCTTCCTTGAATAGGGTACCCAGAATAATTTCGAAATTATTAATCAACCTGCCATGTCACACTGTATCAAATGCTTTCTGAAAGTCCAAGTATAACATCCACAGCACCACCCTCATCGCCTGTGACATCTCATCATACAATTATTTATCAGACATGACATGCTCTTGACAAAGCCATGTTGACTGTCTAGTATTTATTTCTAAGTGTACATTTACCTTATCTGTATTATGGCCTCTACTAGTTTAATCCCATTGATATAAAACTTATAGGACTGTAGTTTCCTGGCTTATCCTTTGTCCCTTCCTTAAAACAAGGCTGTAACATTTGCAATCCTCCAGTTCCCCTGGAACTAATCCTTTGTTCAGGCCTGGAAAACGTCTGTCAATGGCTCTGTGATTTGCTCCCTGAACTCTCTAAGCAATCTAGGATGCATCCCATCTGGGCCGACCGACATCTCTACCTGGAGTGCTGCCAGCCTTTGTAGCACCTTGTTTTTAATCTATCACTATACTGTTCAGTTGCTCAACACCCACAATTTCAACTAGGCCATTATCACCATCTTATAATTTGGTCAAGGCAGAGCAAAATGTTCATTTAATATCTCTGCCATATCCCTTGCTTCAGTGAGTAGCTTACCCTGCTTGTTCCTTCTGGGTCCCACTCTACCCTTCACTAATCTTTTACTATTAATATGTTTGAAGAACATTTTACTATTTGTTTTAGCGGAGCCTGCCATCCTTTCCTCTTGCTTCCTCTTAGCCTTCCTTATTCCAGCCTTAGCCTCTCTCCTGCATTTCTCCTAATTTCTATTGTTATTATTATTCCAGTATGCATCATATGTCTCCTTTTGTCTTCCTTATTTTCTCATCAATGAAGAAATGTTATAGAGGATTGGTCACAGACACCTATAGGATCTCGTAACAGAGAGATGACTGAGAATGGTAGGACATGGATTTCATCTCTCGGGTGTATGGCACTCCAGGGTGGCAGCAGAATGAACACCACCAGTTGACTAGCCAAAGAAAACCTGGCTAAGTATATTTAAAGGAGAACTTTCACAATTATGAAACCACCTAGGGTGAAGCAAAAGCGATTGTGATGGATTCAGAACTGCTGCCCATGGTCCCGAATGGGCTAGGAAGAGCTATGTTTAAGAGTAAAATCTTCTGATTCTTTTTTCAAAGTGTTCTGGCAGGCACAAAATACTGCGGAATATCACCCCATGCGATTGAGAGTGCAGAGTGGATCTGGTACCCATCAAGCACCTAAACTGTAAAAACAGAAAGAACTGCGGATGCTGTAAATCAGAAGCAAAAACAGAAGTTGCTGGAAAAGCTCAGCAGGTCTGGCAGTATCTATGAAGAAAAAAAAAATCAGAGTTAACGTTTCAGGTCCAGTGACCCTTCCTCAGAACTTGGGCACTTAAACGGTCATCTGGCAGATTTTTGGTGAATCACTCCTTGGGGTAACGATGACCTGCCTTGACTGAAGATGCAAGTCATTCGGAGGCCAGCAGACATGGCGAGCAGCATGCTGCTTCAGAGGCTGAGTTGGGGGTGGAACAGCAACTCAGAAGTCTAGGAGCAGTTGGCAAAGTAAGTTACTTTTGTGAGGCATCTTGGAATTGGTTGTGGGGAATCAGGATTTAAGGCAAAGGCAGGGAAGTGGCTTTCAGCTACCCTCATTTGTATCCCCCAATATCCATGATTGGGGCTGATCAAGCCCAAGGCTAAACCCTCACCCACCCCCAAAAATGGCAGGTAGGCTATTCCATTATATCAGTCAAAGGGGCTGCCAGTGTTCCCTCCTGTTAGAAATACAGGCAATCTTGATGGTGGCATGAGGAGATCATTAATTGGTTATTGAGGGCCTAAATTGGTGACGACTAGGAAGGTGGAACTTGAATTTTCCCTCCCATAACCTAATCCTCTGTGATGGGAAGAGGGTGTGTATCCCTGTTGCCAACCAATAACCATCTTCCACACCCCACATCACTTCTCCAGCACATTGCAGACTGCTTCTCAGGTAGGGAATCCTACACCCTAAGGCCAATACTGATGTTTTTGAATATCATATATACTTAAAAATGATACACATTTAATTTTTAAATAATAGGATCCAGATGTGCATACTGAGATGGGTATTTAATACAAGGCTCTGAGAAGTCAAGTCTAAAATACATATATCTAAATTTCAAGTAAGTTTTTTTTTAAATTTCAGAACACTTTACACAAGAACAATCCTTCTTTAACTTCTTGCAGATTCATGGACATTTAATAAGTAAAAGGTTATTCAATGATTTAACCATCCCAAAGCCACTGGACTAAGCACTTTCAGGTATCACAGTATTCTTTTAATAAAATGATTCACATTGAATATAGAAATATAAATGGAAAACAGTATTGTACATATGCAAAAATCAAAAATGAAGTTTTCACATCCACTGACAGGTATCCACCTCTGTCAGGTAACAAATGTTTAAGCAAGAACAATTTTGAAAAATCTTTCATTAGATAATTATTGTCACTGAAACTGTTAACAAAAAGCTCCAGAACATAAGCCATCAGCACATTATGGGAGTTTGACTAGTTATCTTCTGTTTCCTTTGAGGGTTGCAGAACTTTTAAAGGGATCAAATTCATCCTGGGAACAAATGCATAACATTGATACGATTAGAACAAATCCTTCTCAACATTAGATTATCAGAATTCTAGATCACTTAACACCACATTATCAATTAGGATGTGACTTCCAGAAATTCAAATCAAATTTCATGTTTATTCAATATTCACATTTTGAATAAGCAATTAACCTCTTAACTTGTGCAGTGGTCAATGTTAATGTACATTAATGTAGGTACATTAACATACAGAATTAACACTTAGTTATGTTGGAAGAACAATGTTTCTAAGATGCAAAAGTGTTATTTTGGTAAACTGCCGTATTGGTTAACTCAGTCTGTTATTGCCAAATTAACTGCAGGTACAAAACATCCAAAACATCAAAATGTCTTTAGCCAATTAAAAGGGATTACTCAGTAAAATGAATAAATGATTTCAAAGATGTGTTGATTGGTTTCAACTTCTATGCACTAAAATTGATTGAGTCATTTATGACGGAGTGCTATCTTCTTTATATAGCTTAAAAAACAGTTCATCTTAATGCTACTTTCAATAAAAATTTATGAAGTACAAACATTTATGAAGCAGTTTGTTGTAGAAAAATAGTCTAAGGCTCATCAAAGGAGTGTGGAAAATAACTGTGAGGCTAAAAGGTTGGAATGGATGCCTAAAAGTTCGGTCCAAGAAATTTCTGCTGAAGATCACCTTAAAGTAGCATCTTTTACATGTTTGGATCACTTCTGAGGACTTCCGAAAACACTTCACAGCATATTAAGGACTTTGGGAGGTGCAGTCACCTTACATAGACAAACATGATAGCCATTTTTCATTCATTAAGGACTCACAACCAATACTGAGATAAATGGCTAGATTGCTGGTTTGCCTTTGTTCGTTGAGGAATAAATATTCATCAAAACACCAAGAGGATTCCCAATTCTCTAATTTGAATTGCACTGTGGGAAAGTTTATCAAGTGAATCAGGAAACAAGGTTTCTATTCAATGTTTCATTCAAAAGATGACACGCTGGATTTTTGCAGAGTCACGGAGATCCATGGACCTACAAAATGGTGGACAGAATTCCAAAATTCCGGCCCAGATTCCTAGTGCCTGCACATATTCCAACAAAGAGAATGCTTTGAGGGAGTTTGTATCTCAGTCAAATATCCATAATGAGATTTGGTTGAGAATCCAGGCTCCTATAAAACTTTCACCTCATTGAAGCATGGAAGTACAAAAAATTGCTTTACTGGTGACTTTAATTTCTTAGATTTTTTTTAATCCATGGTTCAATAACTAATTACAGAAGTTAAAGACATATGAAGAGCCTATTGTTTCTGTCATTAATACTTGAAAGGTCTGGCTGATTGCTGATATTACACTCCCGTACAAGTGGCAGGGTCAGTTTTTGTTTTAGAAAACTTTTCTGAGCAGTTCCACATATAATCGTGGAAGTGTCATGAGTTGATATGCAGGGTATGAGACACCATGGGGCCACAGGGCTTAATTTTCCAGAAAACAACCAACAAAATCCTGGAAAATTGACATAAGCCTTTTAAACAGCCCACCTCGACCAACAGCAGACCCTGTTGCTAGTTCCAGGGAAAATAGCCCCAGCCTATTCAGCCTCTCCCTATAACTCAAATCCTTCAGTCCCACCAACATCCTTTAAATCTTTTCAGCACCCTTTCAAGTTTAACAACATCTTTCCTATGGAAGGACAACCAGAAATATACACAGTATTCTGAAAGCGGCCTCACCAATGTCCTGTACAGCCACATCATAACCTCCCAACTCCTATACCCAATGTTCTGACCAATGAATGCAAACATGCTAAATGTCTTCTTCACCACCTATCTACAGTGACTCCACTTTCAAGGAACTATGCACTTGCTCCCTTAGGTCTCTTTGTTCAGCAATGCTCCCCAGGGGCCTACCATTAAGTGTATAAGTCCTGCTCTGGTTTGTCTTATCAAAATGCAACACCTTACATTTATCTAAATTAAACTCCACTCCTTGTCCCATTGGCCCATATGATCAAGGACCTATTGTATTCTGAGATAATCATCTTCATTGTCCACCTCACCACCTATTTTGGTGTTATCTGCAAATTACTAATATTATGGACCAGACCAAACCCCCTCAAACTATTCAGAAGATAGTTCAGACTCTAAATTTTTTCTTAAAGGTTCATGTAAGGTGTTGTGTTCCAGATTTGATTGGTCGAACTACTGAATTTAAACAAAACCACACTTTATTCATCTACTTTAGCTAAAATGGAACAAAAGAAAGAAGGAATTCAAATAACTTAATTCTATTGGAAAACTTAACAGAATAATTGATACACCAACTCTTACTAATTAACTGTTCCAACATAGCAACATGCCATAAACACACCCTTGGCAAAAGGCAAGTTCAGGAAACAGACTGTATCACATGTAACTCCCAAAGTCCAAGAAGAAAAAAAAATCAAGAGAAAATTCTGAGAGTGTAACAGCCAGGAGAGATTTACTGCAGCTTCTAACCCTGCTGAGACCCCAGCAACAACTGCTGAAAGCTAAAACTAAAAATCCCAGTTCTGAGAGAGTTTGACCACACCCATTCAGGCTGCTTCTCTTGTTTCAACTTTTAAAAAAAAGTTCAAGGTGTCACAAGCTGTTTATTCTAGTAGACTGCTGGGCACCTCTACTTAAAAACTCTTTTAAAAAACAAATCAGGACAAAATAACCTCTTAAAGCCATTGTATCATCACAGTAACCATGCCTCCTATATTCACATGCAAATCATTTATATAAAATGACAAAAAGCAGTGAACCCAACATCCTTGTGGCTCACCACTGGTCACAGGCCTCCAGTTCAAAAAGCAACCTTCTACCACCACTCTGTCTCCTACCTCCAAACCAATTTTTTATCCAATTGGCTAGCTCCCCTGGATTCCATGTCATATGACCTACCCTCACTAACCAGTCTACCACATGAAATCTTGTCGAACGCTTTGCTGAAGTCCATATAGACAATGTCTACAGCTCTGCCCTCATCAATCATCTTTATTACCTCTTCAGAAAACTCAATCAAGTTAGTGAGATATGATTTCCCATGCACAAAGCTATGTTGACTCTTCCTAAATCAGTCTTTGCCTTTCCAAATACATGTAAATCCTGTCCCTCAGAATCCCTTCCAACATCTTACCCACCACTGACTTAAGGCTCACTGGTCTATAGTTCCCTGGCTCTTCCTTAGTGCCTTTCTTAAATAATGGCACATTAACCAGCCTCCAGTCATCCAGCACCTCACCCGTGGTTGTCGATGATACCAATATCCCAGCAAGGGGCTGAGCCATATCTTCTCCAGCTTCTCACAAAGTTCTGGGAAATACCTGATCGGGTCCCAGGGATTTATCTATCTTTATGTGTTCTCTAACCTCCAGCAACTCCTCTTCTGTAATATCAACTCTTTTCAAGATATCACCATTTATTTCCCCAAGATCTGTTTGGGGCCACTGCTGTTTGTCATTTTTATAAATGACCTGGATGAGGGCGTAGAAGGATGGGTTAGTAAATTTGCGGATGACACTAAAGTTGGTGGAGTTGTGGATAGTGCGGAAGGATGTTGCAGGTTACAGAGGGACATAGATAAGCTGCAGAGCTGGGCTGAGAGGTGGCAAATGGAGTTTAATGCGGAAAAGTGTGAGGTGATTCACTTTGGAAGGAGTAACAGGAATACAGAGTACTGGGCTAATGGTAAGATTCTTGGTAGTGTGGATGAGCAGAGAGATCTCAGTGTCCATGTGCATAGATCCCTGAAAGTTGCCACCCAGGTTGATAGCGTTGTTAAGAAGGCATACGGTGTGTTAGGTTTTATTGGTAGAGGGATTGAGTTTCGGAGCCATGAGGTCATGTTGCAGCTGTACAAAACTCTGGTGCGGCCTGGAGAGATTATTGCGTACAGTTCTGGTCACCGCATTATAGGAAGGATGTGGAAGCATTGGAAAGGGTGCAGAGGAGATTTACCAGGATGTTGCCTGGTATGGAGGGAAGGTCTTATGAAGAAAGGCTGAGGGACTTGAGGCTGTTTTCGTTAGAGAGAAGAAGGTTAAGAGGTGACTTAATAAGAGACATACAAGATGACCAGAGGATTAGATAGGGTGGACAGTGGGAGCCTTTTTCCTCGGATGGTGATGGCTAGCACGAGGGGACATAGCTTTAAACTGAGGGGTGATAGATATAGGACAGATGTCAGAGGGTACTCGGAGAGTAGTAAGGACGTGGAATGTCCTGCCTGCAAAAGTAGTAGACTCGCCAACTTTAAGGGCATTTAAATGGTCATTGGATAAACATATGGATGATAATGGAATAGTGTAGGTTAGATGGGCTTCAGATTGGTTTCACAGGTCGGCGCAACATCGAGGACCGAAGGGCCTGTACTGCGCTGTAATGTTCTATGTTCTAAGTTCCCTAGCTTCCATGTCCTTCCCCACAGTAAATACTGATGTGAAATAAACCAAACTGCACAATAAAAATTATTTATGCTTTATATATCACAGCATGCTCTAACAGCAAAATGAGCATGTTCTAGTATTATTCAAATATTTTTAAAAATGTCTTCTGTCAAAGTGACTTTAGGTTTTCCATACATTGGTTTGCTAACTTAGTTTCACCTATTGTCAAGCATGTTTCGGTGGACTTTATTAAAGCACGATCATTAAAATTGCACCAGGGTTTTCTTGGTTACTGCTGTGAAAACCAAACTAAAATTCACAATAAAATTACAAGATATTAGCTAAGATTTGCAACCATTATCAAGTAGTTGTTGTGCTCTGCATAAGAAAATCAGTCAACTTATTTCAATCATATGCTGCTGTGAAATTCAGTTCCAAATTCTGCCCCTATTTATGAAGTATGAATGCTTATGCTTTATTAACAGGTCTTCCCTACCTGTTCTGCTACCTTTAGTAATTTATGCATATAAACAACCAGGACATTCTGCTCCAGCGTACTTTTTAGAGTAGTATCCTACCTCCATGCTCTTTGTACCAAAGTGCATCACTGCACACAGCTCTGCACTGAATTTTATCCAATTGTGTCATCAATATTATGCCACCTTTCAGATGGACAGCAAGTTCTAACCTTCAGAATCCCTCATCTGCCACAAAGCCAAATAAAACAGAATAACCAAGCAGTATTATCCCTTTTAAGCCCAAGGTGTTAGAAGTTGTTATGAGCACCAGCATCGCAAATGCTTTCGACTAAACCATAGCAGCATTCACCTCCCAGTAGTAAAAGACTTAGTTGGTTTAATGTCAAGGTAGATAAGGTTTTAGAAACAATAGTCAAGGATAAAAAAGACACTTTGAGAGATTCTAGTTAATTAATAATCTGTTAAAGGCAGGTTGTACTCAACTAACACAATCAAATACTTTGATGAAGAAAAGAAAAAGTTGATGACAAAGTACTAGATAAAAGACAGGGTAACAAAATTGAAGCTTATGGAATAGGGAGGTCAACATCGCCTTGAAAAAAGACAGAATTAGGACAGAACATAGTGAGATGTGGTAAATGATCATTTGTTTAGACGGAAGATGCTAGTCAGTGATGTTTCCGAAGGGTCAGTGCTATGACAACAGTTCCTTAGTTTATTTATATTAATGGTTTGAATCCTGCGTTACTGATTAAAACTTCAAAATCTACCAATGCTACTGAACTTTGGAGGTGTGGCATCTGCGATAGGACATAGATAATTGAACAGAATGTGCAGACAAGTAGCAGATGGAATTTAATTCAGCTGTTCTGATGAAAGATCATTCATCTGAAACATTAACTCTGTTTCTCTCCACAGATGTTGCCTGACCTGCTGAACACCATCAATTAGTGTGTTTAACACAGTAAACAAATCAAGAGGGAGAAAACTAGAAATTACCTCATCATCATTGTCATCATAAAAATTTACTCCTTTAGACTGGTTTTGAGAACCTCTTCTATTGAAAGATCCTGACCTGCTTGAATTCCTTTTTAAATGAAATAAGATCACAATCAACAACTAGAATCATTATCCATCTGTAAGAAATTCAAAAGGGCTGTTTCATAAAAAAAAACACATGCATTTCTGTAATACATATATTAAATGACATCTAAAGTGGGAGTCAGTCTTGTGATGTAATAGATAGCATCAATTCCTACTGACTGCAGTTTTGCTAGCCCTCCTTGACACTATATTTGGTCAAATGCTGCCTTGAACTCAACAGCAGTCACTCTCACCCCACCTCTTGAGAATTCAGCTCTTTCAGCCATATTTCAGTGCAGTCAAACAACTTTTAATGGCTCAACCTTAACCTGAGCACAGCATCGGCCCTTCGTCAACACCCATATATTTGCTCTCAGGCTGCGCTTCCAATGCCCTTCCCACAGTATCTTAAACAAACTGTTCTGTTTTCCAGTTTAGCCTTAGTACTCATGGTAAGTTCCAATTATGTGAAACATCATGATATCAGAAAATCTCAGGTAATGATGACATCCTGGTTTCTCCTGCCCTTGTGACATGTGATGTTTGTCACATGCATTTCAAAGCTGCTACTGCACCATTGTGCTAATATGACATGAAGACAATTTGGCGAAAGAAAATCTGTTAAAAATAAAGAAGGGTGGTGGGGGGTGCAGAACCTGACTGCTGAAGACTGTTGAGGCTGCAATGAAAATCTGTAGATCGCTGCTGTACAGCAGCGCTGGATGTAATTTACACAGCTTCCTCTATGTACCCCATTCTCCATTAGCAGAGAAACCCTTGGCTGGCAGGCAGACTTTGCAGTTTTAAAACCGGAGAAAAATGTGCAAAGAAAATTGCTCTACTCCAATGCTGCATGTTACCTGACCACACCTCAATGAAGAAACATGACTTTAAAAACCCAACTACTATACCTGAGTAACCCAATTTTAAATCACTGAAAATAGAAACTATACTGAGTCATTTACTAGTTTGACTGGTTTCTAATATTAGTTGTCTTGTAGATTGTTGACTTTGCAATAAACAAAACATTTCAAAACCATTTAATTAGTCTCTGTACATGAAGAAAAGCAGTTTATTTTGAAGACATGCTTGAATGGCCGCACATGGGGGAAACTGCCCTCAGCACGCTATTCTTACAATTTGCAGCCCTGATTACTTTTATAGGCAAAGCCAGGTACAGGTAAAATGATCAAATTTACAGCATCTGAAGTTTTTTTTTTAAACTTCTGATGTTTTACTTATTTCATCTGCGGATGACCTCAACAGCGTGGATTCAATTCCTGTTCCAGCTGAGATTGCCATGAAGGTCCCATCTCCTTCATGTCATGCCCTAGCCTAAGGTGTGGTGATCCTCAGGTTAAGCCACCAACAGTCATCTCTCTTTAATGAGAGAGAGCGAGAGTTAAGCAGCGCATTTAAAATTGATTTTTGAAGCCTGCAATACCCTGTATTGCTTTCATTAAACTGATTCTATTATTATCTGTCTACAAAACAGATGTACTGTACATTTTCAAACATGGAAATCAGCAAATTTGAGATGTCCTGAAGTCTCCAGCTGATATTCATTTCCAAATTAATAGCTCTGTTACCATCATTTGCTGCGACTATATGACAACAAAGTATGCATACCCCTGATTTTGTTTTGAGAAACTGGATAGACAAGGTTCTTCCATATCTGAATCATCACCAATTATGACCTGTAAAATAAAATTTAACAAATACCATTATAAAATTTTGAAAACCCTGAAAATACTTTGAAATACAAACAGAAAATGCTGGAAATATATAGTAAAACTGCTGAATCTGTGGAGACAGAACATTCATAGATGGGATATAATACTCATCCTGAAAGTGGTCTGGGAATTGGGAAGGGGGCTATTTGGATGTGAAGTGACGGGTGGAGCTAAGGAGATTCCTAACTTGCAGCAGATGAAGTCATAAACTTGTATCATCATGAGTACATGCATACATGAAAAGGGCAAATGCTCCAGCCATGTATTTATTTTGCTGACTCAGTTGGGAATTTTACAAGCAGTACCCTTGCCCAAGATCTTTCTTCTCCTGTACCCTCAATTCGTCAATGCTCATTAAACATCTATTATTATTTCTTTTGGCTTCTCTCTCTCCATCTCATCACAACTGCAATATGAACTAAACCCACCACAGTATATGAGAAAAAGAAGGGTGGGAGAGGGGTAAATAGTTGGTGTCCTCCACTTTGCACAATGCCACCCCTCCATCCAACCGCCAAATGTACAATCTCTCTTTCTTCTGGTCCATCCATCGACTCTGGTGGAAAAAATAAACGCCACCCCACACTCACCTGCCTTCTACTGCTCAGTGTATTATGGTAGTGGAAGTAAGTTGAGGTCCTGAAGTAGCCAATCTGTCTCCACTGGCATTCAGCAGTGGCAGGTGGGCATTTATTGGTCTTTTTGACCATTAGACTTTAGGGTAGGCAGACTACAGGGCACCTCACCTCCTCCATAATACTGCGGGGACCAAATGGGATTGGGTAGGAAGGTGTAGGTTCCTAATTGTCATGTGCCACTCATGACTAAAACATACTTAAAGAAGGGCTACAAAATCTGCCTTAATGTGGTTGGAATACCAAACTTTGTCTTGACTCTATATGCCATGCTAGGTCATCATTTAACTTTTAATTTTTAATCAGATTTCATTTTGATTTCAAATTACACCACCTGCCACGGTGGGATTTAAACCGGTTTTCCAGTGCATTACCTGGGTCTCTGGATTACTAGTCCAGCAACAATGCCACTGCGCCATTACCTCCCTCCTAAATGTTCCTATCCTCTAACGCCCCTCAACCTGAATGCTACACCTTGGTCTTGATTCCCAGTTGCATGGTCGTGGTAAATTGATCAGCATATATGAAATGATCTTTTGTGATATAAATTATAGATGATTAAACGGTTACCTCCTCAGAAGGACTTTGATGCCAAGTCTGCGCTGGGCGCCGGCTCGATCTTTTAAAAGCTGAAAGAAAGATTGTTTGGTTACTGATAATTAATTAATTAATCAATTAAATAAATTTAAAAAATTTTGTTATACAACAGAAAAATTATAATCAAGCCACAAGTAAAATGGCTGTTTCAAAACCTACAACTTTTTCTACAAACATTTAATTGTTTTCAGAAGTTAGTCATATCCCACGGCATTGCCCATGGTGGTCTAGGATTGCAGCATAGTTTCTGGTGCTTAACCAACTTAATTTGTTGTTTATATGTCATAGCAAACTTTGCTCAAGTAATATATATCATTTGATTGACACATGCTAAAATACTCTGTAAAAATATAACTATTATTTTAATACCATCTACTTACTACTTTAAATTGCTTGCATCAACAATAGTTTGTACAAACTATGATTTTCATAATTTGAAGTCAGTTTCATCAAATTACTAGATAATTTAAAGTTTATGAATATAAAGTTCGACTTTGACTAAGAGCAGACAGTTAAATTTGTGTTTCTTCTTGTTATTTCCTGTGGTAGATTTCTAGTTCATGTTGAAGCCGCACTATCAAAATTCAAGCTCACAGATATATAAATCATAAGTATCAAAACACCTCAAATACCCACATTTGTCCATCCATTGCTAAGAAACACGGCCTCAAATAACATGCAACAGCTTAACCAATATAACATTAATGAAGTTGTTTCAAATCCAGAACTTTCTGATCATAACTATTCATTATAATGTTTATACCTAGCCATCCTGTGAGAAATTGATTTTGGTACATTCCAGTTAAGGAACGAAAACTACAACCCCCATTTAGCACACCGCGTTATTAAACTTCCCAAGAAAAGGATTATGCTGTATGATTATGCTTCTTCAGTGTTAATGAGTTTCCCTGTCAATTGCATTGCGTGGCATTGCATGTAATTTTTGCCCGGCTATCATTTGATACGAGTGATGTACCTGATGATTTTAATTATGGAAGGGCTATAACTTGAATTCATGTAGCTCATTTCTTCCTCCACGTCAGACACCACTTGGAAGACGCACTGATGTTAGCAACACTTCACGTGTACTCCAGGTGGGGAACTTCAATATTCATCATCTCAAGTGGCTTGGTTGCACCACCACTGACCAAGCTGAACAAGATTGGAAGGACATATCCCTGGAGGTATACAGGGGATATAGGAGTTTACTGAAGAAGAAAATCAGGAGGGCGAAAAGGGGACAAGAGATAGCTTTGGCTGAGAAGATTAGGGTCAATCCAAAGAGATTCTTTTAAGTATATTAAAGAAAAAAAAAAAAAGAGTAACTAGAGATAGAATAGGACCCCTCAAGGACCAAAGTGGAGATGTATGTGTGGAGCTGCAGGAGATGGGCGAGGTCGTCAATGAATATTTCTCCTCTGTATTTACTGTGGAGAAAGGCATGAAGAATTGGGAACTTGGGCAAGTTAGTGGCAACATTTGGGGGACAGGCATTTTCACAAAAAGGAGGTGTTGGAAGTATTAGAATGTATGAAGGCGGATAAATCTCCTGGTCCTGACCAGAGGTATCCAAGAACAAAGAAAATTACAGCACAGGAACAGGCCCTTCGGCCCTCCAAGCCTGCACCGACATGCTGCCCGTCACAACTAAGACCCCCTACCCTTCCGGGGACCGTAACCCTCTATTCCCATCCTATTCATATATTTGTCAAGTCGCACTTTAAAAGTCACTACAGTACCTGCTTCCATTACCTCCCCCGGCTGCGAATTCCAGGCACCCACCACCCTCTGTGTAAAAAAACTTGCCTCATACATCACCTTTAAACGTTGCGCCTCACACCTTAAACCTATGGCCCCTAGTAATTGACACTTCCACCCTGGGAAAAAGCTTCTGACTGTCCACTCTGTCCATGCCCTTTATAATCTTGTAGGCCTCTATTGGGTCGCCCCTCAATCTCTGTCATTCCAGTGCGAACAACCCAAGTTTCTCCAACCTCTCTTCATGGCTAATGCCCTCCATACCAGGAAACATCCTGGTAAATCTTTTCTGTACCCTCTCCAAAGCCACACATCCTTCTGGTAGTGTGGTGACCGGAATTGAACACAATATTCCAACTGCAGCCTAATTAAGGTTCTTTAAAGCTGCAACATTATCTGTCAATTTTTAAACTCAATGCCCCGGCTGTTGAAGGCAAGCATGTCATACGCCTTGTTGACGACCTTCTCCACCTGTGTTGCCACTTTCAATGACCTGTGTACCTATACATCCAGATCCCTCTGCCTATTAGTACTCTTAAGGGTTCTGCCATTTACTGTATATTTTCCATCTGGATCAGACCTTCCAAAATGCATTACCTCATATTTTTCCAGATTAAACTCCATCTGCCATCTCACTGCCCAAGTACCAACCGATCTATATCCTGCTGTATCCTTTGACGGTCCTTATTGCTATCTGCAATTCTACCACCATCAGCAAACTTACTAATCAGACCAGTTACATTTTCTTCCAAATCATTTATATATATTTCAAAAAGCAAGGTCCCAACACTGATCCTTAAGGAACACCACTAGTCACACTCCTCCATTCAGAAACACACCCTTCCACTGCTACCCTCTGTCTTCTATGACCGAGCCAGTTTTTTAAATCCATCTTGCAAGCTCACTTCTGACCCTGTGCGACTTTACCTCCTGTATCGGCCTAACATGAGGGACCTTGTCAAAGGCTTTAATGAATTCCATGTAGACAACATCCACTGCCCTACCCTCATCAATCATCTTCGTCACTTCCTCAAAAATCTCAACCAAGTTAGGGAGACACGACCTCCCCTTCACAAAATCATGTTGCCTCTTGCTAGTACGTCCACTTATTTCCAAGTGGGAGTAAATACTGTCTCAAAGAATCCTCGCCAATAATTTCCTTACCAATGATATAAGGCTCATGGCCTGTAATTGGCTGGATTATCCTTGCCACCCTTAAGCAACGGAACAACATTGGAGAATAGCCAATCCTCGGAGGCCTCCCTCGTAGCCAGTGAGGATACAAAGATTTCCCTCAAGGCCCCAGCAATTTCCTCCCTTGCCTCTCAGTATTCTGGGGTATTGGGGACTTGTCAAACTTAATGTTTTTCAAGACCCCAGTACCTCCTCCCTTTTGATCTCAACATGACCCAAACTATCTACACACCCTTCCCCAGGCTCATCATCCACCAAATCCTTCTCTCTGGTGAATACTGATGCAAAGTACTCATCTAATACCTTGCCCATTTCCTCTGGCACCACACAAATTCCCTTCCCTGTCCTTGAGTGGGACAACCCTCTGCCTGGCTACCCTCTTGCTCTTTATACATGTATAAAAAGCCTTGGGATTTTCCTTAATCCTGTTGGCCAATGACTTTTCATGACCCCTTTTAACCCTCCTGACTCCTTGCTTAAGCTTCTTTCAACTTTCCTTGTATTCCACCCTTGCTTTATGTGTTCCCAGCCTCCTAGCCTTGATAAATGCTTCCTTTTTCTTTTTGATTAGGCTCACACTATCTCTCGTTATCCAAGGTTCCCCAAACTTGCCATACTTATCCTTCATCCTTAAAGGAATGTGCCGGTCCGGAGTTCCCAGCAACTTACACTTGAAAACCTCCCACATACCGTATGTTGATTTACCCTCAAACATCTGCCTCCAATCTATATTCTTTAGTTCCTGCCTAATATTGTTGTAATTAACCTTTCCACAATTTAGCACCTTCACCTGACAACTACACCTATCTTTATCCATCAATAGCTTAAAGCTTACTGAATTGTGATCACTGTTCCTGAGCTGCTCCCCTACTGAGACGTTGACCACCTAGCCAGACTTATTCCCCAATACTAGGTCCAGTACGGCCCCTTTCCTAGTTGGACTACTTACTGTTTCAAGCAGCCCTCCTGGATGCTCCTTACAAATGTAACAGGGGTTTTGATTATTAAATGTCTTTGAAGCATTTCCAACAGGGAACGGCTAATTTAGCATCTGCTTTCTTAAAAAGCGATTACATAGTCATACATTGTGACATGAATTTAATTTCCCAGTGCTGTGGTGGTTCTTGCCCTCCTATATAGCTCTAAGAATGGACTGTCTACAGTAGACACCTCAAGCCGGTGGAGCAGTACCACCAACACTGCCTGCACAAGATCCTGCGAATCCACCCCAAAGAAAGACACATCAACACCAGCATCCTTGATCAGGCCAACATCTCCAGCATTGAGGCACTTGACCACCTTGATCGGCTGCATTTGGCTGGGCACATCGTCCTCATGACTGAGATGAGACTCCCCGAGCAGGTATTCTACTCCCAGCTCTGAAATGGCAGGTGAACCCCAGGTGGACAGAGGAACTGCTTCAGTGATACCCTCAAAGATTTCACTGGCGAAGTTCAGCATTCCCACAGACAACTGGAAATCAGAGGCCAGAGTTTGTCTAAATTGGATGAGGAGAATCCGGGAAGGCATCAAGCAGACTGAGACTTGACATCATGTAGAAGTGGAAGTCAGGCCCCAACAGTGTAAGGAGCACACTGCTACATCAGTGCCTCACCCACCCCTTTCCACAACCAGCTTCTGCCCCAAGTGTAACAGAACCTCTGCAGCAGTCTGTACAGCCATTACGGACTCACCCTGAGAGTTGAAGACAGTCATCCTCAACCTCATCCTAGTTCTGAGGAAAGGTCACCAGACCCGAAACATTAACTCTGATTTTTTTTCCACAGATGCTGCCAGACTGAATGAGCTTTTCTAGCAACTTCTGTTTTTGTTCCTGATTTACAGCATCTGCAGTTCTTTCATTTTTTATCCTCACTCTAATGATGAATTTAATCTTATCCCTGCATCTATTTGTGTGAAGAAAGTACCGTTCAAAGAACATTAAGAAGTTTAAGCATTTGATCAGTCTTGTGGCCTTTGCTTGAAGATTTAAAAGAACTGAATAATTTGACTGGATTTTTTTTTGTGGTGAATGCTATCTTTTGAATATATTTTTAAAACTTGCCCAGTGAACCAAATTATTTCAAAATTCGTTTATTTTACTTAGTGAAATATTCCTGCAAACAAATAGGCTGATAGGAAGGCTTCTGCATTGATATATATTGTTCAGGTGCCTCAAATGTTCCAAAGAACTTCACAACTAATTAAAACACATCTGGAATGCAATGATTGTCATAGTAAATTGGCTGCCAATTTTGCCTATGTCAAGGTCACAAAAAAAGCAATGAGATAAATGATGAAATAATTCATTTTTAATGATGTTGGTTGAAGATTCCTCGAGAACACGACAGAGTAGATGTGGAAAGGTTGTTTCCCTACGTGGGAAATCCAAGACCACAGGGCATAATCTCAGAATGAGAGGTTGCCCATTTAAGTCAGATGAGGAATTTCTTCTCCCAGAAGGTCATGAATCTGTCGAATTCTTTACCACAAAAGGTCTGGGTCTGGATCACTAAGTATGTTAAAATCTGAGGTAGACAGATTTTTGATCAGAAAGGGAACCAAGGGTTATAGGAAAAGGCACAAACGTAGAGTTGAGTGCTATTCAGATCAGCCATGATCTTACTGAATGGTTGAGCAGACTCGATGGGGAGCACAATCAACTTCTGCTCCTCTATCTTATGATCTTGTGAAAACAAAGGTTTGGCCAGGACATTTAGAGAACTCCCTGCTCTTTTTTGAATCATGGCACAGGATTTCGTACACTAGAGTTGGCAAATTGAGTATGGCATCTCATCCCAAAAATAGCTTCCCTAAATTTTCAAAATTCCATTATAAATCAAAGGCGCCAATGAACAAAAGATCGTGTATATCTAATTGTGGTACATTGCTCACTAAAGAATTCCTGAGCCTCCGACCATATTCTTCTCCTCTCTTCTTTACTGAATGTGGTCACCAAATTCGATCTTCTGAAGGTAATTTAGTGATTATCTTCTCCCCTGCAGACATAATATAATTTGAGTGGTCACCCCACCAATGTGCACTGAACAAAAATATATATGCACACAAATGGAAAGTACGCTGGAAAACCAGTGTACTACAAAAGGAATCCTGTCAATAATTTTGACGTTTGCTCCAGTCCAAAGATAAGCCACAGAGGGAAGCCAGAGAACAGAAAATGTGCAATGTAATTTTAAGTCTACAACAATTCATTCAACTTTTTTTCATTCAACTATTTAATAGCGTACCCATATACAAAGTAATACAGATAATGTACTGTTCAGCAGAACACTAACAATCTGCTTTAAATGCTAGTTTAATGCTTACTTTTGCAAAGTTAACTGCAGTGGGGAATAAAGATACTGAGTTCTGTAAGCAACCTCATTATAGTATAAAATATATGTTACATTTTGAATAAAGATTAATATTCAAATTATACGCAGTGGTTTGCAGACATATAAATTGACCTACCATCCATGATTAACAAATTCTTTACAGGAGTAACAACTGGAGCTTTGTAAGTCCTGCTGGAGACTTTTATTTCGTTGCCAGTTTCTCTTCCACTGCTCCCTAATGAACCAAAGAAGAGGATTATTTAATATCTCCACAACTTGCAGTATTGACAAATATTACCAGAACAATACAATTTTTGCAGTTATTTTCCATCAGGTCAGAAACGTCTCCTTTAACATTTTGAAAAACAGACACCACTTTAGGTTGGAACAAAAGCTGTTAAACAAGTAAAATTATGGTTAGAAGCATTAAGAATTTTTCAAGTTTGGAATAAAAGTTCACAGTTCAATTTAAATTACCAACTGATCGATGTTTGCGTAGTTCTTGTGGACTCATTACCTAATATGGACTATTTCAGTTACCTACAAAATGAACAGCGTGTGCTTTGGAAACAATCACTGACAAATTTTCTCCTTCAATAAACATCACTTAAATGGATATGAAGCAAAGACAAAACATATCACAGATCACGATGTGCAAGTCAATTATTTTATATTCATTCATGGATGAGGGTGTTGCTGGCTAGGCCAGCATTTATTACCTATCCCAAAGGCCAGTTAAGAGTCAACCAAATTGCTGTGGGTCTGGAGTCACATGTAGGCCAGATCACGTAAGGTTAGCAGTTTCCTTCCCTAAAGGACATTAGTGAAGGTTTTTCCGACAATCAACAATGGTTTTATGGCCATCATTAAACTCTTAATTCCAGATTTGTATTGCATTCAAATTCCACAGTCTGCCATGGCAGGTTTTGAATTCAGAACATTACCTGGGTCTTTGGATTAACAGTCCAGTGATAACACCACTAGGCCATCACCTCCCCATAAAACTGAACAAATACTTCTAAGAATGGGGATTAATTTATAAACTGAGTATAAAATGTGAATCACCAGTGTAAGTGGGCAAAATGAAATAGGCAAAAGAAAAAAGTACTGTTGTTTCCTCTCCTTGTGAAGAGTTATGAACATGAACCTTGAATAGCTTGCTGAGACACATAAGACACATATCCAAAAAACTGAATTATGTATGTTAAAGCCCTCTCGTAAGTTGCAGTTTGGAGTTACTTTTTAAACAGGTGCCTCTTGATCTCATTCCTTATGTTACATCCCATATTAACAAGTTGTATTCTTTGCACAAAGAATAGTGGGATGCCTATACCACAAAGCAATCCATGAATTCACTCTATCCTTATCCATCCAACCGTTGTCAAAAATGTACACAAAAACACCAGCGAAAATTGACATTTGAAAATTACTATACGTTTTACGACATCCCTACAGTCTAGTACCATTCTGAATCTTGTCTTCTAGTGTCCATTGGTTTTCACTAAAACTGTTTTTGAAAGTTTCCATTCCATTGTTTAAATGCTTGGCAGATTGAAATTCATAGTCAATGCGGCATAGTTTGTATTGATGTGTTTGCCACTGTCTGATGAATTACTAGAAACTGGTTATTTTGGCATCATGGTCTCTTGGTACTCTGAATGGTGTTTTGCCACAAAGCTGACATTTTTCATCCATAAGAAATGGCTTCACCAACCAGCTGTTGCTCTGAAATCTTTGCTGGTCTGATTTGGGCCATTTAAGTGACAATATACCTATTCCACTTCTGTTGACAATGTAACCATTCCGACAATTTTGGAGAGTTCACTTCGATGCATGCTTCTCAAGATTAGGTCAGTGGCTGGTCCCTCTTCAAGGGTGATTTCTTCTTCCATTGTATTCACTAACACCAAATTCTCTTGTTGCACTATATTTTTTGATAATTTAGCAAATGTTATGAGAATTTTAGCTTTAAACCACCGACAAATTTCATTTTATTTTGCTGAGAGTACCCATTTGGGTTCATTGTTCATCATGCATAACTTTAAAAGGGAAGCTTTTAACTTAATTTTGATAAAAATACTACGAAAATCTACGATGAATAAAAAGAAGGTCCCTATGGGAACTTTCCTTCATTAGTTTTAATAACCAAGAGAAGAGAGAAACACAATTACTAACTTACATAAATAAGGCCTATCTACTGCCATTCATTATCATGTGGAATTATCTGTACCATTAGCATAATGACTTTTACAATGAATGCACCCCTAACACAGCTCACAAAATTGACTAAACTGACCTAACGGAGGGAAGCATATTTGGGCGAGTTATACAGTTTTGGGATATGTTTGGGACTCTACCACAAATGAAAACAATGACTCACAATATGGTAACTGGATTGTTATAATCTGTTTTTAATTTATTATTTTAAGGACTGCATTCTTTGTAGTTTTAAAGGGGCATAAAGCAGTTATATACGATTAGCAAGGAGATAATTATAGCTACAACATTACAAAAACTGTTCCAAGTCTATCCAAACTTCCAAAAAACCTTTAACAAGTCATCTTAAACGAAGTTATTTCATAATATGGATTTTTGTGCTATCAATAGAAATCTGAAACACTGGATTAGTACTTGACTGCAATTCCACAGCTGAGGCTTTATAGTTAACAGATGTAGCTCAACTTAAGAGACACATTAATAGTGGTGTGCCCTAGGCATTGGGCCCAAGTTCACTACTCTTCGTGTTTTTAATAAACATCTCAGCATTGTGGAGAGTACAGTTAGCGGTCTGGAGATGACACCAAAATCTGTGCAAGGATTAAAGCAACAAAAGACAAATGAAATCAAATTAATAAAGATTTAGATGTGCTTGGGAATGGGCCATGATCAGGTCAACAGACATGAAAGAGATCATAAATTGTTTTAAAGGCAATACATCTTGACTAGTTTTAAATAGACTATGCCAGGCTAAATATGGCTGCTATCAATCACACGATTTGCAAATTTGTTAGAACTCCGGAAATTTCCATCAATATAAATTCAAGGAAAAACTAAAACACCATTCTCCTGAAGCCTTGAACTCTTTATTTTCAATAAATCCACAAAAGAAAGTAGACAACATGTTTTCCCAGCCAAGAGTGGCAACAAAAAGAGACATAAAAACTATTCTGCTGTAAAAAGCCCGATTGTTCACATCTACCTCATAAAACATGTACTGGTTTTTGTTAATATTAATATATTTGGCCCATTCAGGAACCATGTTACACGATCAAAACATATCTGGTCTCAGAAGAGATCAATCATAATTTCTGAACCCCATGATCTCAAACTGCTGGTAACATGGTATTGTAGACAGATTCAGTCAACATAAAACTGGACTCTGCCTGAAAGCTAAGTCTGCCTCAAGTCCAAGTCTCCTCAAGACCTAGTTTCTGTGAAAGAAACATCGCATTCCCCTGAAAAGTGAAACAATTCTTTATGCTAATCTCATATGGCTGCACTTCCATCACATTAAAAAGGAAATCTCCAACTCCTGCCTTGGCTAGCTGAATCTGCCCGAATTTGAGCACCACTGGGAAATAGCCCTCACTGGCCACCAACTTTCTGGACTCTGAATTAATATTAATTTCTTCAGGTTTTAACGTTATTCCCTTTCCTTTCAGTGTGTACGTTGTTAGAGGTCACTTTAAAGTTGGACTTCACAAACCGAGGACAAACAGAGGACAAACTGCTCCTCATATGACAAGCCTGCATATGACAGAGGGTTTTGAAGATGCTCTGACATATGAGGGCTTGTCATATGAGCAGTTGAGAACTTTGGGTCATACTCAAGGGAGCTCAGAAGGATGAGGGGGTATCTGATTGAAAGTTACAGGATACTGAGAGGCTTGGATAACATGGATATGGAGAAGGTGCTCCCACAAGAAAGACAGATTAGGACTCAGGGTACAGCCTCAGGGGTGAAGAGACAATTCTTTACAGCTGAGCTGACCAATACTGCCGGGAGTCCGTGTATCACAAATGATGCTTGCAGCTTCTCACTCGTCATCTGAGTTTGCTGAACGAACTTTATGCATGTCCAACCACTTTGAATGGGTGTCCACAATGAGCACAAACATGACGCCCATGAACACTGCGCCCATGAAAGGACCAGAATAGTCAATATGCAACTGACTCCAGGGTTTACCTGGTCGTTGTCACGAATGTGGCGGCGCTGCTGGTGGGAATTTTTGTCCTTGTTGGCACTCTGGGCACTACTCCACCAATGCAGCTACCAACCCCAGCCACCAGACATAGCTTCTTGCTAACACCTTCATCTTGGAAACCCCTGGATGACCCTGATGGAGTTCAGCCAATATCTGGCGGTGACCTTTACTCAGAACAATCACCCTTGCTCCCCATAGTAATCTGCCATCCTCTATGGTGATCTGGACTTGCCGGGTCCGGAAAGGTTTCAGTCCGGGTTGCAATGGCCCTTCTGTTTCACCATTACCACAGCTGTTTCAGTTTCACTAAGACGGGATCTTTTTGTGTCCACATTTGGATATTGTCAGTGGTGACTGGGTATACAAGAAATTTAAAACCAAAATGGACTCTTCCAGGGGAGGTACTACCGGTGGAGTATCTGCCAGAGGGAGGCAGCTCAGGGCATCCGCATTAGCCACTTGGCTTCCTGGACGGAGTTCTAGCTTGTACTCGCTGAATTCTACCGGAAGCTATGGGCGGCACTGCCTTGTCATCTTTCAGTACCCCTAGTAGGGGTTTCTCATCTATTACTATGACAAATTCCCATCCATAAGTGTACTGGTGGAACTTCTGCACACCAAAGATAACCGCCAAACCTACCTTCTCTATCTGGGCATATATATGTTCGGCATCAGCCAAAGTCCGGGAAGCATATGTTATCAGGTGTTCCTTTCTGTTTGGCCACCAGTGACCCAATACTACCCCGATGCCGTAAGGGGAGGCATCACATGTCAGCACTACCTCTTACATCGCATCGTAGTGGGCCAACACCTTAGATGTCAATAGCTGCTTTTTCACTTTCCTAAACACTACTTCTTGGCTATGCGACCATTTCCAAGGCTGACCCTTTTCTGCAGCAGGTAGAAGGGTGCCGAGATGGAGGCCAGGTTACCTCTGAATTTTCCGTAATAATTCACTAACCCAAGGAAAGTACTAAGCTCTGGTACGCACATGGGAGCCGGGACTATTTTGATTGCCCTCACTTTCTCTCCCAACAGTTTTGTTGACTCTGTAACCCAAGCAGGTCACTTAGGGCGCCTAGAACACACATTTTTCCTTTCTAAGGCACATGCATGCCTGACAGAAATGTTTAAGCACAATGCCGAAGTTCTCCAAGAATGTCGTTCAGATAAACGGCAACCTGGGGTAGACCTTGTAAAATGTTCTCCATAGTTGGCTGGAAAAGGGCGCAGGCTGGTGATACCCCAAATGGCAGTCTTGTATATTGGTATAAGCCCTTATGGGTATTACTTGTAGCGTGCATCCAGTTGCAGTTGCAGGTAGGTGTACCTCATGTCCAGCTTTGTAAAGGATAGCACCCTCACCAACTTTGTGTACAAGTCCTCTATGCGATTGGATTGGATATTTATCCAGCTGCGAGAAGCGGTTTACCATTTGCTTAAAATCCCCACAAAGATGAACTGAGCCGTCAGGCTTCACAATCGGTATGACCAGTGCTGCCCATTCTGCTTTGATGATTCCTTCACTCTCCAGCCTCCTGATTTCTGTCTCTACTTTGCCTGCAAGGCAATAAGCACTGGGTAGGCCTTGCAAAATCTTTGAACTGTTTCCTGGTCAACATGTAAAGTGGCTTTGGCCCCATTGATAGTCCCAAGCTCTTCCTGAAATACTCCTGGGTATTTCACTAGGACTTCACTGAGGCAGCCATTTTCTAATTGAAAAATATTGAGCCAGTCTAGGTGAATCTTTCTCAACCACTTCCGTCCCAATAGGCTTGGACCTCAGCCCTTTAGTCGTAACTCTAGCAACTGCTTCTCATAGGTGACCAGAAACCAAGCTGTACCCTTAATCTGCAACTGATTTCCTAGTGTATATTCTCAGTCTGGCTGAGGCCTTGCACAAACTTAAGAGTTGGGAGTCCCAAGTGAATCTTGTTAAAGACCTATTCTGCAACCACAGATACAGCTGCACCAGTATCAACCTCCATGGGAACTGGGTGACCATTTAACCAATCATTAATTTTAATGTATTCTGATTTGGACGTTGCTAAGCAATTTAATTGTTCCAACACACACGTAGGGGGATCTTTCCAGGGTGCGCACTCTCCTGGGTAATTTTTTTTATTCAAGTCAGGCCTTGTAGGACTCCTTTGCTGTCTCAAGTCTACCTACCGAAAGCAGCTAGAATGGCTTGCTGGCCCAGATCCTGAAGAAATTTTTAGCCACTTCGCCGAACCTCGGCTTTGTTGTGGGGTTCTGCTGTGGGCTTGCCTAGGGTCCCTCTGCTCAGGATATGCCCTGCATGGGGCTCTGCAATTGCCTACACTCAAGTGGTGTTCCCCAAGCTCAGTTGGACAGGTGAGGGAGTCCAATCCATTGGGATGCTCCACTGGCTGCACTTTCTAATGACAAAGCCAATTGCAGTGCCTGTTTGAAGTCCAGTTGGTTATGTCATTAATCCCACGTACCAAACAGTCCCTCATAACCCAAACTCACATGCCTCTGCCAGTCGTCTTAACCTCATCAAAAATCCCAAAGTTGGATTCCACTGGTTCTCTAACAGCTGAATAAAACTGATGGCACCTCAGAATTAGAGAAAGTTTGGGCCGTAATATTTCTTAACCAACTCCATCCACTCTTGGATGGTTTTAGTGTGTGGTGCCTTTTGGAAAGTTAAGGCCCATATAACCAAAAATGCTGCAGGTCCACAAGCAGTCAGAAGGATTACTCATTGCTTTTCATCTGTCGCAATGTCACTTGTCTGCAAAAAAAAAAAAAACACATTCTTTCCACATACTGGGTTTAGTCTTCAACAGCAGGACCAAATGAGTCAGCTTCCCAAATTAAGGCATGATGCCAGAAATGCTTACCCCAACTCCAAGATGAATGTTGCAAGTGAATGTTCTTCAGGCACATCCCGTTTTCTCCTGTCACCACTGGAATAACTGCACAAAGGCTGGTATCCTGTCACCAACTCGCTCTTTATCTACTTCTGCACAACACAATGGCTGTAGCCAGTGAGCTCAGAATCAGTCCCCTCAATTGAGGTGATTCTAAATCTCCTTTCTGTATTGGTCAGCCAGGGCTTTCCTGATTGGCCCAGGTTAACAACCCCAATCAAGGACCTCATAGTCAACAAGGTCCACCTGATTCCAACCACTACAGTGGCTCATTGCCATTGTGGGCTGTGGAGGCCAAGTCATTGAGACTATTTAAGACAGAGATAGATAGGTTCTTGATTAGTAAGGGGGTCAAGGGTTATGGGGAGAAGGCAGGAGAATGGGGTTGAGAAATATATCAGCCATGATCAAATGGAAGTGCAGATTTGATAGGCTGAATGGCCTAATTCTGCATCTATATATTATGGTCTTAACACATTGCAGCCTGTTTCAAATGACTGAAACAATTAAAACACCTTTGCTTACGCTCAGAACGCAAGAAAAATAAGAGTATCAACCTGCTTGTCTCACCCATTGTAATAGCCATACAATAACAAACAACCGTAGATAATTGCAGGTAACACGACTGAAAGAAAGAGAGTAAAAATGTTGCTGATGTTACCCATGCTCAGATCACTAAAGGTTCATGACTAATGTAACTATGCTGGTTGAAAGCTAATAGTCATTTTATGGAAAGAACTAAATAACACCACTTTAACAATATACAAGTTGTTTATTAGCCCATCTATCAAATACTTTGATCTCCCCAAATGAATGCTGATATGGTTCCTTAGGAAAGAGCTACAAGAACGATTCTTCATTTGAAGAACATGTGCTCCTCAAAAAGATTCATTTACTTTACAGCATTTATTTTTAGGAGGTGGCCTGCCACGGGGTCTAGAAATTAACTTAACAGCCGGACAGTGACACTACTGATTCCAGAATACTAGCAGACTGTGGAAGACTAGGGAACATGAGGTTAAAATATGCATGCATAGCATAATAGACTGGACAATAAGTAATTATTTCTGTTACAGAATTGTGTCCTATGGAATACATTGCTGACTAGTGTGTTTGGTGCTAACTCTACGTATGTCCTCAACTTAACCAGTTGTTCAATAGGGAAGAGATCACTTAGACTGTAAAGGCCCATGTAATCTCATGGACTGGTTTAACCATCTGAAGGAGTCGGAGAGGAACTTTCAAAAGAATGCTTTCCTTTATCAATCTGGATTTCTTTGTCTCTTCTAGAAGGTTGGATGTGAGAATAACTCAGGGGGAGAAAGAAATATTTAGCTATTATGGCACAGTCGTTATGGCATGAAACCAACTTGCTAGACTTAGTTTAGTTTGGAAAACTTGATAAGCATGGATGAGTTGGACCATATGGTCTGTTTTCATGCTGTATGACTGTATCTTTTCTTGCATGTCAATTGTCTAAATTTGTGTAATGTAAAGAATTCTTACTGCTTCCTCTTCTGGATCCTCCTCTTGCTGTGGAAGAGCTTTGGCCTCTACTGCTGCTCCTTCCATGACCTCTGCCTCTCCCTCTGTTATCTACAGACGCACTGCTTTCATCAGAGTCTGCAGCCTTTTCTTCAGAAATGACCATGTCATCATCACTAATTAATGATGAGATTTCTTTTCCTTCAGTTCTGTGCGCTCTGGCTCTACTCATTGCCTTTTAATTAATGGAGAGAGAAAAAAAACCAATTGTCCATTAGAAAAATGTTCACTGTAATAATATTAAGCAAATATTGTCCATATTAATTTGACAATTACCTGGTGTCAATATCCAAATTATGGACTCAGCAAATATACAGTCAGTGATCTCTTTGCATGTATTAAAATATTAAGGGGATCAATTTCAAAGAATTTGGAGGAGAGAAAGTCAGCCACTTTAACTCCTGTGAAGCCAAATTGAGTGATTACAGTCAGAGGTATGTATGAAAATCCTGAAGTTAATTTCTTGACTCTTGTGTTATTAATATTTTTGCAACTTATCAAGGCTCCTTCAATAACAAGGTGCAAACATCTAGAAGAAGGGCAACAGGTGTACATGGACACCACTACCTGTAAAGTTCCTCCAAGTCACAAACAATCCTAACTTTGAAATGTATCATCACCATTGTCACTCATTCAGTCACTGGGTTAGAATCCTGGCTTTCCTTCTTGAAAAGCACTGAAAATTATCTAGAGAAAAGTTACTGCAGCAGTTCAAAAAGGTGCTTCATGTAATCTTCTCATGAGTATTTAGGGATGGGCAATAAATACTGGCTTTATCAGGGACACCCACATCCTATGAAAAAAAAAATGTTTGAAAATATGCTTTATTCATTCCTTTTAAATTGCAGGCCAATTTGGCATGTTCAAACCAGTTTTGGTTTTGCATTAACTTACTCCTCATAAAACATTGGCCTAAGATTTTGGTACAGATTAAATTTAATTCAATTTATATCAATCAATGCCAACAAGTGTTGCTACGTTAAATTCCTAACCTACAGAGCTCTTTGTCTTAATAGCCTGAACAATAAGTTCTCTAGGATTAAAAAAAAACTAGAATCTCTTGGACATTAACCCAATTTACAGATATGTAGTCCACACAGTTGGGCTTACCCCAGCGATTTGGGAGTAAGAGGTTGGGGCTTAATACTATTTGACCAAAATCAATCAGATAACAGCTTGCAGTTCCAGGTTTGTGATGAATTTACTAATGAGTTTAAACAGTAACTGAGGGATTGAGATTGAATCAATAAGAGCACAAGCCAGCATTCATTATCCTGATCATTATTCTGTGACTACAGCTGGATTGTATGCAATTCAAGTGAAGATACAATCAGGTGCATCAGGTCCAGCTCTGACACTATTGAGTAAATAGTTCACTAATGTTCAGTACTCAAGTTCATGTGTGAAGAATGAACATTTGGGCTAAATACCAGAGTGTTGCTCTTTTATGTGGCACTAAAACTAGCATTTAGGAACAGAAGGACAAGAAAGGAAAAAATACTGAATTAATCATCCTGATGAAGTTACAAAACATGCAGGCATCAGCACACCATTTCCTTTGAACTGAGTTATAAAGCTCAGCAGGCATACAAGGACAACATACATATTGAAAATATTCATGGATTACCGAGTACTCAGTATGACATCTATATTTCATTACTGGAGAATCTTTTGGGCTTTGGAATGTCAAATCTGTATCCATATGTATACAAGGCAGCAATAGTACATCATTCCGAAATCTGGAAATATAGTGCAGTATGCAAAGTTTGCACAGTCCGAGTCTAAAGGCAGTATGTAAAAGGCAGAGGCACAGATGTGATACTTAATTAAAGACTTGGAAAATTAATACTGAAGCACTATGCAGAAAACAACTTGCCTCTTGAACTTCTTCATCTTCTTCAGCTGTGTTCTGTCTCCGGGTTTCACGAAAATGGCGAACCTAATAGTTAAAGATGAGGTAATTAGACTTTGTGAAATATCCAAATAATAAACAGAAACCATAGCCTCAACCCAATAACCAGACATGATGATGCATTCTGCACTGATGAAGGAACTAATTATTACTCAGATATTTTTTAAGTCTGTGATTTATGAAGTTTTTATATTTCTAATGATCCTCTTAACTGTTATTTTTTTTCACTGGAGTATAGGAGGTTGAGAAATGACCTGATAGAAGTTTATAAAATAATGAGAGGTATAGATACAGTTAATGGTAGCTGTCTTTTCCGTAGGATGGGGGAATTTCAAGACTTGGGGGCATATTTTTAAGGTGAGAGGAGACAGATTTAAAAAAGACATGAGAGGTAAATTTTTTTACACAGAGCATGGTTCACGTGTGGAATGAACTTCCTGAGGAAGTGGTGGATATGGGTACGATTACAATGTTTAAAAGACATTTGGATAGATACATGAATCGGAAAGGTTTGGAGGGATACAGACCAGAAGCAGGCAGCTGGGACTGGTTTAGTTTGGGTTTCTGTTTACCGTGGACTGGTTGGACCACGGGGTCTGTTTCCATGCTGTATGACTGTACGACTCTAGGTCCTGCTACACAAAATTCACTCCAATACAGAATCATATAGATTTTGACGAAATATGCTCTCTGGATCAAAATTTAGAGGTTACGGCGGAAAAGTCTGTTCACAGAACATAGTCTAAAAATGGTCTTACACAAACAAGGGAACTGCTCTGGGGCAAAAAAACACTGCAGGCCACACAGTTTTTCCCAATTATATCAATAGGATTCGCAAACCCATGACACCATCTTCCACCCTGTAAATTGACTTAAGTCTGTGTAGTGCCACTTGAAGTGGTAGTAAATGATTTTTACCCCCCTATATAACTCACGTGCAGCTCACTTTTTAAAAAGATTTGTCCACTACAAATTAAACTATCAGCTGAAAGGCACATTTTCTCTCAGTATACTTCTACCTTATCAATTTTCCCTCAAGAGCATTGACAACACGGCAGGGGCGTGGGAACCAAGTCAGAATAGTAAAGGAGAAGACCAAGATTCATAAAATCCTTACAGATGCAACCAGCATTAGTATAGACAGCAACTTAGTTGGTAGGTAAAAGTAGGTGAAGTCAGAGTAAGGAAAGAGAAAATGAAGTCTAAACCAGGGTTACTGTGCATGTTTATAAATACACAGAGTATAGTAAATAAGATTGAGGAGTTACAGGCGCAGATTGCCATGTGCAATTTTGATACTGTGGTGATAACAGAGACCTGGTTCTAGGAAGGGCAAGAATAGGTGTTA